TCACTGTAAATGAAAATTAAAACAACAATGAAATAACACTGATAAAATTTAAAGAAAAAAAGTAGGAATACATCAAACTAAAAGCTTTTGTGCAGCAAAGCAAATAATCAACAGAATGAAGAGATAACCTATAGAATAGTAGAAAATATTTGCAAACTGTACATTTGATAAGGGGCTAATATTTAGTATATATAAAGAACTCAGACAGCTCAATAGCAAAAATGAAATAATCCAATTTAAAAATGGGCAAAGGGCCCCAAAAGAGATTTGTTAAAAGATTTACAAATGGCCAACAGGTATATAAAAAATGCTAAGCATCACTAATCATTGGGAAATTGCAAATCAAAACCACAATGAGACATAGCCTCATCACTAATGAGAATAGCTGTTATCAAAACGCCAAAATATAATAAATGCTGGCACGAATGTGGAGAAAAGGAAATTTTTATACACTTCTGGTGGAAATGTAAATTATTATAGTTACTGTGGAAAACAGTGTGGATGTTCCTTTAAAAAATAAAAATGTAGAGCTACCATATTATCCGGCAATCCTAGTACTAGGTATACATCCAAAGGAAATGAAATCAGTATGTTAAAGAGACGTGTGTATCTGTACTTCCATGTTTATTGCGGCAGTATTCACAATAGCCCAAATATGAAATCCACCTAAGTGTCCATCAAAAGATACATAAAGAAAACGTGGTATATTTATTCAACAAAATAGTATTCAGCCACAAAAAGAATAAAATCCTCTGTTATTTGTGGCAACATGGATCAATCTGGAGGACATTATGTTGAGTGAAATACGCCAAGCACAAAAACACACTAACCACGTGATTTCACTTGTGCAGAATCTGAAGAAGATGCTCTCATTGAAGTAGAGAGTAGAATAATGTTACCAAAGGCTAGGAAGGGTAAGGGGGAGGGTGAAATAAGGGGGGATTGAGCAATAGGTACAAAGTTACCATGAGGAGAAATGTACCTGTTGGCCAATTGTCTATCTTCTTTTGCCTGGTGTTCTATAGCACAG